TTGAAACTGACATGAATTGTGGTGGTGGGTTGTGTCCAAAATGCGCAGATGGCTTAGGCTGCACAGTCAATAGCGACTGTATTAGTGATGTTTGTCAAGGAGACACTTGTCAAGGTATATCACTTCAACAAACTATCACATAATCCATTGTGAATTTTAGGTGCTTCTTGTACCGATACTGCAAAGAATGGACTTGAAACTGACATGAATTGTGGTGGTGGTGTGTGTCCAAAATGCGAAGATGGCTTAGGCTGCAAGGTCAATAGCGACTGTACTAGTGATGTTTGTCAAGCAGACACTTGTCTAGGTATATCACTTCAACAAACGGATTGATGAAAGTTGAACACGAGGAAAGATGAGCACGGAAAGTTAAGCACAGAAAGTGATGCACAGAGAAAGATAAGCACGGAAAGTTAAGCATCGGAAAGATAAGCACAAGGGAAGTTCGGCACCGAAAAGTGGACCACGAAAATGGAAATTAATTTGGACATGGCGATAATAGTCAGACGAATGCTGAGTGTATGTGTAGGTGAGGAAAGCAGTGTAGAGAGGGATGGTACAAGAGAGTGCAGGCCAGAATGGGCAAATGGGTGCGGTTGAAATGGATAGTTGGGTAGAGGGAAACATGTGAGGATTGAGGCGGTAGCGGAGTTGTTATGAATGTGCGTCGATGGACGGGTGTATATATTGATGTGAATAGGGATCAAGTTGTTATATACACCTTGCCAGCTCATAGCCACCTATTCCATTCACACCCATACTCAGTTGCATCTACGCCAGCTCACCTTCACCAAGAGTTACCCATTCTACATCTACGGTCAGCATTCGTCTGCTCCGAAGGGGAAACAGCAGGGATTTCGGCTGTGAATTCTTGGAAATGTGTTGAAATCCTATAAAATCTCTTAAAATCTTTAGAGATTTCTTGAAACTTTTTGAAGTCTCGTAAAGCGTTTTGAAGTCTTGCAAAGTCTTGAAATCTTGAAGTCTGTGATTTTTTCTCTGGTTATGAAATCCTTTATAGTCTCATGAAATCTTTTGAAGCGTTTGGAAGTCCCTTGTAGTCTCATGGAGTCTTATGAAGTTACATCATGTGTTTGGAAGTCTCTTGAAGTTTCGAGAAATACTTTGAAGTCCTTAAAAGCCTTTTAAAGTCTTTCAAAATCTTTCAAAAATATGAAGTTTCTGATGCTAAAATCTCCTGAAATCTTTTGACGTCTCCTGAAGTCTTCTGAAGCCTTGAAATCTTAAAATCAGCTGTGTTCCCTCGGGCTGCGCATTATCACCATGTCTAAAGTAATTTCGCTTTTCGCGCTGAGCTTTCCAGTGCTGAACTTTCCTTGTGCACATCTTTCCGGTGCTTAACTTCCTGTGCTTATCTTTCTCTGTGCTCAACATCCCGCGCTTAACATTCCGCGCTCATCTTTCCTCGTGCTCAACTTTCAGGTTCCCTAAAGAAACTATGATATAATTCGTTGTGGATTTTAGCTCCCACCTGTACCGATACTGCAAAGAATGGACTTGAAACTGACATGAATTGTGGTGGTGGTTTGTGTCCAAAATGCGAAGATGGTTTAGGCTGCAAAGTCAATAACGACTGTATTAGTGATGTTTGTGAAGGAGACTCTTGTCTAGGTATATTACTTAACGAAACTATGAAATAATCGATTGTGGATTTTAGCTCCCACTTGTACCGATACTGCAAAGAATGGACTTGAAACTGACATAAATTGTGGTGGAGCTTTGTGTCCTAAATGCGAAGATGGCTTAGGCTGCAAGGTCAATAACGACTGTATTAGTGATGTTTGTGAAGGAGACACTTGTCTAGGTATATCAGTTAAAGAAAGTATGAAATAATCCATTGCGAATTTTAGCTCCTTCTTGTACCGATACTGCAAAGAATGGACTCGAAACTGACATGAATTGTGGTGGTGGTTTATGTCCAAAATGCGAAGATGGTTTAGGCTGCAAAGTCAATAACGACTGTA